GCAGCCGGGATAAGAGAAGTCTGCGAGGGGATCTTCGAAATGCCTCTAAATATCTGCAGGGTGGGTGTCAGGAGGACGGGGCCAGACTCTTTGCAGTGGTGCCCAGCGACAGGACAAGGGGCAACGGGCACAAACTGGAGCAGAGGAAGCTCCAGCTGAAGATGAGGAAGAACTTCTTCCCTCTGAGGGTGCCGGAGCCCTGGCCCAGGCTGCCCAGGGAGGCTGTGGAGTCTCCTTCTCTGGAGATATTCCAGCCCCGCCTGGCCGCGGTGCTGTGCAGCCTGCTGTGGGTGACCCTGCTTGGGCAGGGGGCTGGGCTGGGTGACCCCCAGAGGGCCCTTCCAACCCCGACCATGCTGAATTCTGTGATTCTGTGATTCTGTGGCTAGACACGAGGTCAGAAGAAAAGGTTACAAACGTCCAGCCTGGGCTTCTGAATCTGTAACATGTAGGGAATACTGCATTGAAATTATCTCCCCGAAGCAGTGGTTATTGTAAAGATTTTGGTGGCTACCACCATAGAAAAACGTAACGTGACTTCCAGCTGGAGTCAGCTCTGCTTTGCAGCGCCATGAAAATGTTTACTACCTTTCAGAGCTCTGTTTGTGTTCTGCAAGCCCAGCGTTGCTTCCATTGCCATTAATCCTAATTACAGCTCGCTTTCTGTGCTGATTGATAATCCTGCTTGGCTTTCAACACTTCGTTAATACAAACTCGTAGCTGGATAGAAAACTTGCTACCCTCCAGAACGCAACCAGTCAGATCATTAAAAATAGGAGCACTTTGGAGGACAGACTCAGAAAGACAAATGGATAGATAATTAATTCGAAGGTTATATGTCACTGGAGGCTTTTCTGATGACTTCTGGTAAACTGCCCTAACTTTTCTTGCTTGATTTATGGTGTTATTAGAAATCCTCCGCTGGCAAGCTGCCTTATCATTTGCTACACGTTGTAATTTATCAAGATGCCTTTGGGCAGACTTTATTTCTGTTGTGCTTTTATTTACTATTTTTCTTTTCTCCCCCGTTCCTCCAAAGATATTGCTGGTAACTAGCATGATGCTTTCTTTCCAAAGTTGTTTTCTTAACGTGACGGAGTGATAGAACATCCTGTACCAATTAAATTCAATGTTCTTGGGAGGGACTCCCAAGCTGGCTGGTACGTGGTCGCGGGGGTTTGAATCGGAGCTGCTTTGAGTAGAGCTCTTTCCAAACGACTGAAGTGTGCGTCTTTGTATTTTCACTGGGGTCAAGATAAGCAGTGTTTACACAGCTTATCCTTTTTCACAGCGCTGTCAGCTTCTGTCAAGGAAGGAATTGTGTGTAGAACAGGCTAAAACACCATGACGCTTCATTTTCCGTGGCAGCCCCGTACTTGACCATGCAAGAACAGGGGCAGGAGACATCCCAGAAAACAGGCACAGGAAGGTCTTGCCTGGGGTGTCTGCTCCCAGGAACAAAAACCACGCTAAATTCTGACGCTGAAGCAGATGGCTGAGGCATTACAGGATGCAGACAGGGCAGAGAAAAAAAATTCAGCGATGGGTTTGCCTTTCTTGATTGCCTTTGGCAGATTCTTTGGAGATAGTCCATGGACCTGCGGGCTAGGTTTGTACCAAGAGACTAAATCAGGATGGGGCAGGGCTCGAGAGCAGTCCCGTTGCTGTTCAGACTGGCTGATTGCTGGCATGATCCCGGGTGCAGATTTTGGCCCCGTGCAAAGCAGCGCTCTCCAGAGAACGCCATGGCACAGCTCGGTAGATGCTCGGGTCTGGGGCCAGGTCCCGTTTCCAAAGGGTCCGACCCAACAGGCAGAGCGGGTGAGGTCACCAGTTTTGGGGGGATTGTGGGGAGAAGGAGCCATCAGGATGAGAGGTGAGGGCTTGGGTAGCGAGTACGGCCTCAGGGCTTGTAGGGGAGCAGCACAAAGAGAGAGCGGAGGGGAAGGGGCACCAGGGTCCGGAGGAGAGGGGGAGGCTGGAGCAACTCAGCAGGGCTGGATGTGTCTCATCACCTGCAAGAAGGCGTGTGGGCACTGGGATGGTGCGGGTGGGGAGGTGCCAAAATTCTGACGAGGGCATGAAGAGGGGGAAATTTATCTTAAACACTGGTGGAAGGAGCAATCGAAGGCCAGGAGTGACTCCTGGTGCTCACTGCTTGGTGCTTGTGACCAGTAGCCTCTACTGGAAGCAGACAAGACCCATTTTCTTATGTGTCTTGGGCTTTCTGCCATCCTCGCTAGCGGGGATGCACTTCTGGCTTGCTTGTCTCTGCATGAGACCAGCCCTGAACACAGCCCCGTCCACAGTTCCGCGCCGTGCCCAAAAAAATGCTTTAACCCCCACATGCTGCCCTGCTGTACTTGCTTCAGATCAGCATTTCTCCCCCTTGTTTTTCCGTCTCTCTAGAACTATGCTGCTATGAAGCTGGTGAAACCTTTCAACTGAAGCTCTGCTGGGAAATGCCTGAAAGGTCTGGTGCCTGCCTGAGGATTTTGGAAGGAAGTTGTGGCTCTGCTCTGGATCACATCAGCCGATGGAGACGAAGAAGGAACAACCTCTCTCAGGCCCTACCCTGCCGCCAAAATGAAGACACAACTTACCCCGATGCAGTACGCAGAATCCCACCTACAGCAGTCACCTCGGAAGCAGCATGTCAAAAAATACCTATTCTGAAATATTTCTTATTTTACTCCTTTCCTTTCCTTTCCTTTCCTTTCCTTTCCTTTCCTTTCCTTTCCTTTCCTTTCCTTTCCTTTCCTTTCCTTTCCTTTCCTTTCCTTTCCTTTCCTTTCCTTTCCTTTCCTTTCCTTTCCTTTCCTTTCCTTTCCTTTCCTTTCCTTTCCTTTCCTTTCCTTTCCTTTCCTTTCCTTTCCTTTCCTTTCCTTTCCTTTCCTTTCCTTTCCTTTCCTTTCCTTTCCTTTCCTTTCCTTTCCTTTCCTTTCCTTTCCTTTCCTTTCCTTTCCTTTCCTTGCCTTTCCTTGCCTTGCCTTTCCTTGCCTTGCCTTGCCTTGAATTTCCTTGCGATGCTGCAGACCCCAGCAGAGGAGTCGCGGGCTGCTGGCGTGGGCAGCACGTGCAAGCCAAAGTCTCTCAGGTTCTGAGCCCACTTCTCTTTGCACTCTGAAGAAGCCTCAGTGTTCCTTTGCCGTGCGATGTGTATTCTCTGGTGTCTGTATGTCTACTGAGGTCGAAAATGCTCTGCACAGCCTGACACCCCAGGCTGATACGTTGCCTTTCCAAAGAGAGCAAAAACCCACGAGGTGGAGGACCCAGGGAAAAGGCTGAGATGCAAAACCTGGGCAGGAGTTGGTGGCAATCGCTAAATCAAAACCTCCGCTGAATTTTGTGCTCACGAAGGACCGCACAGTCTGGCTCGTGTTTTTTTGGAGCTTGTTTTCCCTCCGAGCTGCTCTTTCACTTCGACAGTCCCACATGCCTCCCTTCAAAACCAGTGCTGTGGTGGCAGAAAGCGGGGTCGGGCTGAGCCCTACCGGGAGAGCAACCCCAGGAGCCAAGCAGTGCAGGTGGACTTTGCTTCTCTCCTCTCCAGCTATCTGCAACCCCTGCAGCCACGGTTCGGTGTATAGATGAGTCCTTTCCCCAACTCTGCTCCCAGACATGCTGAAGCAAACCAGTACAAACCAGGCTGCGATGCAGGCTGCAGAGCTCACTGCTGCTGGGCACTGCGGGGGCAGGTAACCTGCGCCTGGGCGAGTGGGCTGGTTTGCTTTCTGGTTGCAAACACGATCATGAGACATCTCCTGCAGGTCTGGCTCAGCCTCCGACTGAGCAAATGGTGGGACTGGGATGGCTGTGCTGGGGGCCAACAGAAGGGATGGAGAGGGGCTTTGCACAAGGGGGTGTAGTGATAGGACAAGGGGGAACGGCTCTAAACTAAAAGAGGGCAGATTTAGATTAGATATTGGGACGAAATTCTTCCCCATAAGGATGGTGAAACCCTGGCCCAGGCTGCCCAGAGAAGCTGTAGCTGTCCCCTCCCTGGCAGGGTTCAAGGCCAGGTTGGGAGCGCTAAGAGACCTTGGCTAGGTGAAGATGCCCCTGCTCATGGCAGGGAGGTTGGAACCAGGTGATCTTTGACGTCCCTCCCAACCCAAGCCATTCTACGATTCTATGATTCTATGATTTCTGCTGTTTTCTCTTCCCTCCTCCTGTCCGTCTGTCTCTCTGCTGCCGCAATCGGAGCAGTGTGGACGAAAGGGATTTCTAGTGCTTTGTAGTGCTGGCTCTTGTCGTGAGAGGATGCTAATCAAAACAGCATTAGTCTCAGATTTTCAGCCTGCATCCGCTCATCCTGCGAGGAACCATCTCCCAGAACAGGGGCATCAGGCGTGAAAGCAAATGTCCCTTGGAGAGACATCTGCCCTGCTGCTCTGGCATCATGCCTCTTGCCATGGTTCCTCTGACGATGAACAGATCTTTCCCTGCTGCCCTTTAGACGCCTCTTCCTTGGTCTCATTTGACCCCTGGAGCTGTCGCTACTCAGCATGACGTGTGAGAGCCAGGAGCAGTGAAAGGTGATCCCAAGGGATCAGAGCTTCTCAGGACAAGTTGTGCTGATGAAGGCTCCTGCCCGGCTCCAGCAAGGCACTTAAGCCCATGCTTAGCAGAAGGCAGGGACAAAAAAGCACACACCTAATTGTTTTGCTGGATTGGGATGCAACGTGCTGAGCACTAAATCCCTCGTTATTCGGTACTGTAACAGCACCCAGGCTGCACAGGGCAGCTCGCTGCCACGTGTGAGGACGGGGTCTTCGACGTGGAGAACACGCAGCTAGAAAAACCCGTCCTTGCTGCTGAGGTTTGGCTGTTCCATCATCCCGTTCCCCAAAGAACGAGCAGGGAAGGCAGATCTGGACTTGCATGCCCCAGGGTGGGTGTTTCATTTCACCGGCACAGTTAAATGCTTCGTCTTTGCGTTTGGTTCAGTTTTTCCCTAGAAGCCTCCCAACCTCATTTCCTTCCACCCCCCCGTTTATTAGCCGCTATCAAACTACCAGATCTTGATCAAATTTTCCATCATGCTTTCTGCCTGAGGATCTGATGAGCAGAGGACAAAAGCTGCTTGTGTTTGCGCCTTGCTTATTGAGTTTTGGGGTTTGTGTTTTATGAAAATGTCATTGTGGCTGGACCTCGTACCTCTTCCACCACGAGCCAGCTCTGCCGGGGCGAAGAGGGGGGGTTTGCATATCTTGCTGAGCACTAGCATGCCTTGCTGTCCTCTCTGCGGTGGGAAATCAGGCCCGTTATTTCACTTCCTTGCTTTGGTTTGCAGAGACTCTGCTATTTCCCACCTTGATGTTATTGCTCTGTGACCCCTACCTATTTCAGAAACAAAATCTTGGTGCCAAGAGCCCCAGAGAGATGAGCGACCCATGCTGGAGTGCGAAACACTGCTCACATCTGGGTGCTCATCACCCATCCTATCACAACAACTACTGTCTATCCCAGCAGAAACAAGCAACCCTACCAAAACACACTTGGGTGTTATCTCTCCAGATCCTCTCCCAGTAATAAACCACATTTTATTGCCCAGCACTTACCAACAGCTCTTCCCTGACAAACCAGAATGGGTCATCAGCGGTGGGAGAGCAGGATCCAATGCACGCTTCTGCATAGTGAAAAGGAAGGGGTGACACCCCTGCGTGGTGTCCTCCATGCTCCCAGCCCAGGCTGCAGGGCCAGTTTTCATGCCAAGAAGACTTTGTGGGACTGTGGTGGGTAAAAGCAGGTCTGAGCGTCTGAAAACACCAACTCAGTCCCATTGCATCACTGCTTGAACAGCCACGTCCATCATTCGCCTGACTGTGGGCCCTCTGTAGCTCAGTTGTGTCTCTCCACCAAAGCCAGCCGGGAGGTAGGACCTACACAAAATGTTCCCTGTGGCTCCCTGTTTGCAGGGGCTTGAAATGGCTGGAAGATGTGTGTATCACCTGTCTATGCCTTATATACAATAATGCAAAACGCACTGTGGTTACAAATAAAATGCTCTGAAACCTTCTGCTTCCTGGTGTGTTTTGACGTGTTGAGAGAATGGCAGCACCTTCCCTCTTTGGTGCGGGAATGCGAAAATACAGCTGGAAGGAACAGGACGGGGAAGTGGTGGTTGCTGTGCGCTTGTGTTCTCACCTCTCTGCTGCTGTGCAAGGGGTGAAATGCTTCACAGAATGTGTGGGGAAGGTGCCCCAGCAGCTCTTGGACCAAGTGAAGGCCCTTCCCCTGCTTGTCTCTGCTCCTCTTCTCAATTCTGCACGTCCCTCAAAAAGCAGCAAGTCCTTTGAGTCAGGGTCTGTTGCTTCCCTAAAGGGAAGGACTTGTCTGACCAACACAGCCACCATCCAGAGTGACCCAAGGATTACTTCTCTGACACCTTTTTGGAGCTGTTCAGCACCAGCAGGATGTTTCAAGGAGATGGTCCAGGTATGCGGAGAGATTTGCTGGTGCGATTGGGGCCGTTTGTGCCTGAAATGGCTTTCCATGGCTCTGGAAGGGTGCAGATGGGTGCTTTGGAACAGGAGACCTCCTCCACCATGTCATGGTTTGGATGATGCTTGGGATCTAGGGAGGCGGGGGATGGGGAGACCCAAATGTCCTAGACTTCATCTGAGGAAGATGCCAGGGCTTGAGCAGGCACTCTGGGCTGGCATTGTCCAAACCCAGTCTGCCCAGCCCCACCGCAGCCTCTCACGCCCCACACATCAGTGGGAAGACCCAGAGGGGGACCAACAGTGTCACCACGCTGAAGGCACGAGAGAGACGATGGTCCTTGCTGAGGAGGAGTGGGCAGCAGGAGACAACAGGTCGGGTCTTGCCCGCAAGCCTGTGCCTGGCCGTGCATGGGTGCGTGCAAAAGTTAATTGCAAAATGTTCCGCTGCTTGAACAGTTTTGTCGTGCTTGTTTTTCTGTGATTTCCTCGGCCTCCAATTTGATGTTGACTATAATTTAAGGCTGGAATTATGAAGTGTGTGAGCTCCTTCGGGGATGCCCTGACAACCCCCCGTTGTGTTTCACACTGCCTGGGTTCAGCCCCACGAGCCGGAGGGCAGCGAGCAGAGGAGCAGGAGAGCTGCCACACCGCACAGGGGCTGAACTCCTTTAACCTCCAGCAGGCTCACGGGCACATCCGAAAAATAACCTAGCAAAAGACCTGAACTGGTTTTTCTCTTCAATAATAACAATTTTCTCTTCATTGCCTGGTCTTACTCACTCAGAAGAGAGAGGTTTCCACCCTGAAGGGTGGCTTGCAACGGAGCAGTTTGAGGGGAGGGAGGTGCTGCAGGGGCAAGGGGGACGAGGGGTGGGAACCAGGTCAGGACGCTGCCGTAAAAATGCTTTGCGAAGCTGCTTGCACTCGTGTTTGTTGGTTTAACCCCTGTGGATGGGGCCGGTGATCAGTTTTGCTCATTACATGCTGATGAGATGGGAA